TTGAGCTATAGTTTCAGGTGTTAAAGACTTTCTTTTACCCATATTCCAACATGTATAGCCCCAAAACCAAAGGGAACACAGGACAAAAGATGGGGCGGATGAAAGACGAAAGTGAAACACTTCTTCTCACCACGGCAGCCACGTGATCACTGAGGAATCACTGTGAAGTGTAGCGGCAGACCATGACGTCATGCTAACGGCTGCTACCCGGCACAATGCACTGATGAAAAAAGAACCCCCTGTATGGCAGACCGTTGATTTTCGTCACAGCATTATGCCGGGGCTCTCACCCGGCATAATGCAGTGACTAGCACTGTGTATATATACTTTAATCCCTAATTTAGGAATTTATTCTTGGCTGATGGTAAACAAGTGACACGCATCCTTAATGAAAGTCGATAGACTCTCAACACCATTAACAACCACACTGTGTCTTCCCTGCCACCCTTCTTCAGAAGTCCATCAAGAGATGTCTTCTCGATAGCATCTCAAATTCTTTATTATTTTCTTCTGGCTAGCCATTGAGTAAGCCATGTGTAAATTTTTTGTGGTATCTTTTATAAAAGATCAATTTTCTGGCATTCTTTATTTTCCTGGGTGATGTTAGTATACTTGAGATGAGGCTGGATAAAAATTGTTAGCCTGTAAATAGGTTGAGGCAGGACAGCAGCCCTTAGGTTGTAAATGAGTTAAGGCAGGATAAAGTCCCCTAGGATGTAAATAAGTTGAGGTAGAATAACAGCCTAGGTTGTAAATTAGTTAAGGCAGGATAACAGCCCTTAGGTTGTAAGTGAGTTGAGGTAAGCTAGCAGTTTTAGCCTGTAAATTCAACGGTGTTGACTGCACTTCAGGCAGCAGGTAACCCTACGTCAGGAGGCTTAGCAGGGATGCTCGCCATTCGGTCGCTAGCAGGCACGGAGCAGGGGGAGGTGATCCATTTTGACAGGCTGTTTCGGAGCTTGTCGGCAGCATCGGGAGGACTGTAACAGGAAAGCACACAAAATGCGACCACTCTTGGACGCGTTTAAAGGCAATGGTACCTCATGAGTGACCAAGGTACCGTTGTCATCAACAATATCTTTTTGCCACTGCTTGTTGGTATCATATACAGTCACCTCCAAAACTATAGTGCCCCTTACGAACACTGGTAATGCAGAATGCCCAGAAATTGCATGTGATTGCAAGCACCAAGAATTGCGCCTTCTTGGTGGCGCAGTTAATTGGCGAGGACACTAATGCATTCTCAAATGAATACATTTGTGTTCTTTTTTTTCTTTCAAGTTATCGGCGCTTACTGCCTCCTCAAGACAAGTTTTAATAACTGGTCGTGAGGAGCCAGTAAGAGTCGATAATTTAAGAGATAAAATGAGAACGCAAATGCATTCATTTAAGAATGCATTAGGGTCCTCTTTCTACCCCCTAAGCAAATCAAAATAGTGAAGAGTAGCAAAAACTCGCATACGGGTGTTCTCAGTGCCCAGCTGGAGAGCTTCCTAAATCCTGTTTTGATCGTGAGCGAGGGAGTGTCAAGGACAACACGGACGGGACGTGATAGAGTGCCTGAGGGAACCTGGGCGTGTGAGGGAGGTTTTGGTATTGAGGGGAAAATGTTGGTGTCGAGGGGAGATGGTGTTGGGGAGGATGTCAGTGTGTGGAAGGTCCTCATCTTCCAGTAACAAGAAAGTCTTTTTGCACAAGAATACCATCTAATATAACTTTACAGTGAATGAACAACTCATCACACATTACAAACTGTACACAAATAACCTCCACATAGGAGAGAGAAACTTACAACGAGATTTCGGTCAGGCTTGGACCATTTACAAAGTCACACTGACACAGAAGACTGAGGGAGCCAGTATATATAAGGTGAGGGGGGCAGGGACGGGACCAAGAGAGGAAGAAAAAGAAGTAGTGATAGTGGTAAGGCTGGTAGTGGAAGTCGGACTGAAATGTCGTCGTAATCTTCTCTCTCTACTATGTGCAAGATATTTGCTTATTGTTCCAGTCACGGTATTATGTCTCTTTATTCTATATGAACTATGATATGCATCTACGTGTATGTATACGCCATATCCATGTGTATGGAGTAATGGTTGGACATTTATATTTTATCATTCCTTCAACATTTACTTCATATACCATTGTTCTACACATGCTATGTTGGGGTGGAGTGGAGACAGTAATCGCTCGGTGTAATTTTATTATCTCTGTTGATCGCACAGTGATGGGGGAGTACAGGGTTTCACAGAGAGTAGTGACAGGGGGTAGTGGCAGTGGTGTTGTTCCCCCCTCGTGGGAAGTGACGTAGGATGGGGGGGTAGAGGTAGTGGAAGGGACGGATCTCCCCGGGAAAAGCGCTAAATTACTGGAAATACAATAAAGATTTGGCAAAAATAACGAGAGGATTTGTTGATTAGTGTTGTGAACACGGGAAAACCTACCACACATTATTTTTTTTATTATGAATATTATTAATAATAGTAATTATATTATTATCTTTAACATTATTATTATTTTTTTTAACATGATTATTATATCTTTAATATTATTTTTAACATTATTATTATATATTCAGGAAAAAGGGAGTGGGTAGCTCCTAATTTCCCTGAGGGAGAGTGCTAGACTAACATAAGAGAGTTCCTCCTGGATGCTCAGATGCTCAGGTCTCGCTCGTGAATCTAACTCAACCACTTGTTAGCACAATATACCATTATCATAACGATTTTGAATTCTTGCTGACCGGGATCAGGTGCAGGGGGCGCCCACATCAACAACACCCTGAAATCAAACATTGCAAATATTCGCTACTCAACCCTGTGAATAGCCACTTCAGAGCATCATTCATTTTCACCATTCAGCCCTGAACGATATTTTTTTTCAGCGTTACCTATCGTGTTCCAGGTGCACATAAGCGCATTCCTATAGCGTAAATAGGTACCTCGGCTATTGTTGTCCTTGAAAATTAATGTCTATTGTTTGTCATGACGGCTTGCCTGAATGCCTGTGATGGTGGAAGTGAATAATATTATCATGAAAGTAGATATATACAACTTCCATTTATTTTGTATATTTTTTTCATTCGTGTTTTACCAGTGACGTATTTTGGTAATGTGTAAAACTTACTGATTGGCCTTTCTTTCGAAGTTATGGACATAAAAACTTGGTTTGGGCTTGACCTAAGTAGAGTCCGTCTCCAGTCAGAGTGTCATTCACTCTCAGCCCCCTGAGAGTGAATGACACTCGTTGACAGCCAAAGTAAATGTCATCAGTGTCAGCCGAAGTGAATGACCATCATTGTGAGTCGGAATGAATGAATGATCATCAGTGTGAGCTAGAGTGAATAACACTCATTGTGAGCAAGAGTGAGTGTAAATTGTATCTGAGGCAACAATGTTCTACTGTGGATTATCCACCATCAATATTTCACCCAAAAAAAACTTGCAAACAAACTTGTTTGCCCTTGACAATAAGATATAAGATACGAGATATACGATAGGTCAGTTTAAAGACTTTGTCACGAGGTTTCTCTGAAATTACCATAAAGAATCTCTCTCTCTCTCTCTCTCTCTCTCTCTCTCTCTCTCTCTCTCTCTCTCTCTCCTCTCTCTCTCTCTCTCTCTCTCTCTCTCTCTCTCTCTCTCTCTCTCTGTTTTTCTTCCTTGAAGAAGAGGAAGAGAAATTAATAAATCCAATTTCAAACCTTTTTTTTTTATTTGTAATTTTTCCTTAAAAATTTCTGGTACAGTGTAAATGTTATCCCCGTCAGTCTGTAATTAATTCATGCCAGCTCTGCCAAACGGGTCATTTAATATGCATTGCTCAAGGAATTTATCGACATTGTTAATAATTTGGACAGTACAGGAAGTGTGGGTAATGGGCACGCCCATTTAGGAATTTCACATAGGCGAAGGGCATCTCGTTTCTAAGTACAGCGTTTAATAAACGCAAGATTACACAAACCTGACAATTGTGAGATGAATTGCTATGAGGAGTTAGTAAGAGGTCAGATAAGGTTTGTCGGGAATCAGGACAAGTCTTTCCTGACGCGGGTCTTAGTCATATGATGACCCGCAGCTGGAGCTTTTGGTCATCTGACCGAGGACTTCCTCTGGCTTATCGGTCCACCCCTTTAAAAATTATGATTATGGTTATGGCAGTTAGATTTTAGTTAATAAGAGATACGAGTTTTACAGGACAATAATATGAAGGTGGAATGTTTTCAAGGAGACGGAGAAAGATCAGCTAGAAGAGTAAGTTTGTGTCCAAAAGGGACTCAATGTAAAGAATGTGAGAAGAAGGCGTCGTAAGTGCTGGGAGTTAATAGGCAGCACCAGCCACGGTGACACACGGGGAGTTGCAGGAGACATCTGTACCGTGGCAGCAGGCAGCACCAGCCACGGTGACACACGGGGAGTTGCAGGAGACATCTGTACCGTGGCAGCAGGCAGCACCAGCCACGGTGACACACGGGGAGTTGCAGGAGGACATCTGTACCGTGGCAGCAGGCAGCACCAGCCACGGTGACACACGGGGAGTTCCAGGAGACATCTGTACCGTGGCAACAGGCAGCACCAGCCACGGTGACACACGGGGAGTTGCAGGAGACATCTGTACCGTGGCAACAGGCAGCACCAGCCACGGTGACACACGGGGAGTTGCAGGAGACAGCTGTACCGTGGCAACAGGCAGCACCAGCCACGGTGACACACGGGGAGTTGCAGGAGACATCTGTACCGTGGCAGCAGGCAGCACCAGCCACGGTGACACACGGGGAGCTGCAGGAGACAGCTGTACCGTGGCAGCAGGCAGCTAGGTCGCTTATACTCTTAAACGGACTGATCAAGGAACAGTGAGCGGTGCTGGCGGCAGAGTTCTTGATAGATGTTAGAAATGTAAAAACAATTCTCTGTATCATGGTCGAAAATGAACCAGGATGGTTTTTATTGACGGGACTGAAACATCTGCACAGACCATTTTTTTTTTTAATGGAGAAATTGAAAATCTCCATTAGAGGTAGTAAGGGTCGGGAGAGTACCCAAAGAGATCGAAGTCTTGCTTATAGTACTGAACGACCTCGTTCAGAAGAGTCAATGGCACCTGACTGTAGTAGTGCTGGACCGCATCTCTGGTTCCGTTGAACACATCGAAGCTGCAACGATACAGAGGATGGTAATACACAATACACAAATAACCCGGTAATACTTTGGTTATACCTTTTATCACGTAGATAAAAGTGGTTAGGTTAAAATCATTAGTATGGAAAAATGAAGTTTTTACGTGTTAGTGATTAATATTGATGTTTGTTGTGTGTAAACATAATACATAGTATGGTCATACAATAAACGATGTTATAAGCAAAGATAGCGTAGTTTTTATAGCCGTCAGATCATGAGTTGAAATGGAGTACTGTTGACATAGTGAAGAGAAAACACCCGTTGCAGAACGAGTATTTTGTTGCTGTTGGTGTTGTAACAACGTTTCGCTCTTGGTACAGGTTTACTTCAAAATTATGACTGTAGGTATTGTTACTATTTTGAAGTTATCTTGGTCAGACACTGCTAACACGATACATTGATACAGAAACCCTTGGACAACTTTTCAGTGAGAATTTTTGGATTGAGAGGGACCTTGACCTTTCAGTGGTACATCATACTACTACTATCTGCACCTCTCATGGCACACGTATTTGAGTCTCGCATGACGTTTGGCTGGTCTTCAGGATAGTTCCTGACTATGAACTGAACTTCTCCAGGCCGAGGGACTGACAACCTCAAATCTACGACTTTAAGCGTGAAAGGGACTGTTCAGCCTTCCAGTCTGTATGCTTTTCTTATCACTGAAAAGCCTACTGTGTGGGAGAAACGTTTCGGAATAAAGTTGCCTAACTGTTGCTTATGTGTCTTACCTACCAAGTCATGACTTGGCAAAGTTCTGCACACAGCGATACGTTGTTTATTTTAAAGTCTGTTGGTGTGACGAAAGCTGCCGTAGACACTGATCACATAGACGAATACTGAAGTCTCCCAGCTCAGGCTGACAGATTTCATTACTTCGTACATGAAAAACATCCAGTGTGGAGGAACATGGAAGGGCAGAGCAAAGTGTGGACGGGGGATGGCAATAGGCACCACTCACTTGGATGCATGAGTATGGAGTTTGAACAGCTGGTCTTGGAGGCCCAGCTGACGGATGACGTACTCCTGGTCCAGGTCCAGTGTCTCCACCTGGGCGATGACGTCATAACTCACCTGACACGGGGCGCAGGTCAGCCAATATGGCCGCCAGTGCATGTTAATGCTTTTCTTACCACCTGATTTCCTGTGTGTGTGTGTTTGAGAGAGAGAGAGAGAGAGAGAGAGAGAGAGAGAGAGAGGAGAGAGAGAGAAGAGAAGGGAGAGAGAGAGAAGAGAGAGAGAGAGAGAGAGAGAAATAATTAAGAACATTACAACTGTAAAATAGCATTGCTTATTTCAGTAACAATTCACATAAGTTATATTCAAGAATGAGACAAACACAATCGATCTTGCTTGCTAAGCTTCAGCGACTCACCAGGCTTGCTTTAGGTCGTATATCACCTTCTTGAGGAACTGCGTGAAGGTGGGCTTGGTCGCGTTGTTTACATTGAAGGAAGTATTGAGGGAGATGCTGGAGTCGGGATACCGCTGAGCGATGTGTCGTTGGAGCTCCTCGAATCGGTGATTTGGACTTTTTACTCTCAGCATCTTGTCTCTGTGGAGGCGGTGAGGATCATGCTGGAGCTGACGTCCTCACCCGAGGGAAGGAGGGAGGGTGGAGGAAGAGAGCCTTCCGTTTTTCTTTCCCTCGACTCATACACCTTGATAATACACTATAGTCCTCAATCTAGATAGACGTAAATAGCTCGTCTCAGCAGAAAGCTTGTTGTAGGCTATTACTTCCTCTGTTATCCATCTTTCCCATGTACTCCCATGTAAGTGACTACTGAAACACACACACACACACACACACACACACACACATACACACGGACAATAATAATGAAGGGAAAAGTAGGAACGGAGGAATCAGGGAGGGACAAAGAGAAAAAAAGTCATTAGAAGACGTTGAGCTGTTTGTAACCAACTTCTTGGTTACAAACAGCTCAAAACGGGATCTTCAGGCAGAAAACATTCTTAAGGAGTCCGATATATTACCTAATATACCTATTAAGACAGAACAGAAATGGAGAGACAACAGTTGAAAGAGCACGGAAAAAAATAAGTCATTTATAGCAAAGACAATCAGAAGAAGGTAACAAGAAAGGTACGTGAAGGATGAAGCGGGGAAGGGATAGGAGCAACAGCGATAATCAGAAACCAACTGGCTTTTGAAGAGATGACAGAGAACAACAGAAGTGTCAAATGACTACATAATAAGCACAGTCTAGACTCGGGGACCCATAGCAGTAGTAACAGACATTTACAATCCACCACCAAATAGTAGGAAACCAGGACAAGAAGATGGAGACAGCATCAAAGCAATGGTTGACACCATAGCGGAAACAGCAAAAAAGAGTCCATATGGCAAAGCGGAAAGATATATTACTGAAGTACAAGGAAACATCTAAGAGTCACAGTGACAGAGGTATCAGAAAGAATTTCTTCAGTCCGAGGGTTGTGAGAAGTGAGCCACTCACCGATATGCCGAGAGGAGACGCTCTAGCGGGTGCCTTACAATAATCATCTTCAAGGCGTTCCTGAGGAGGTGTTCCCTGAGGGCTGGGTCCCGCGGCTGCCTGTACATCCGACGGGCGCTACGATGGGAACCAGGGATGGTCTTGTTCTTCCCAGACAGCTGCAGCAAGTGCTTCATCCAAGTGGTCGAGGCTGCCTGCCAGGGAAACACTCCCCGTTGTACTGATGCTTTTCAGAGCCTGAAGTCTTAGAGAGAGATGAGAGAGAGAGAGAGAGAGGAGAGCGAGAGAGAGAGAGGAGTAGAGATCGAGAGAGGAGAGAGAGAGAGAGTGAAGAGGAGAGGAGAGAGAGAGATGGAGAGTAGAGAGATAGAGAGAGACGAGAGAGAGAGAGAGAGAGAGAGAGAGAGAGAGAGAGAGAGAGAGAGAGAGTCATTTAAGAACATAAGAACATAAGAACGAAGGAACACTGCAGCAGGCCTACTGGCCCATGCGAGGCAGGTCCAAGTCTCCTACCGGCTTAAGCCAATGCACCCAACCTAGTCAGGTCAGGTCACATTGACTTAAGAGAGGAACACGGCAACCGACCTGGTAGCACAAGCTATCAGGTCCAACTCACACCCACCCACATCCACTCATGTATTTATCCAACCTATTTTTAAAGCTACACAACGTTCTGGCCTCGAAATTATTGAGGCTGTTAAATGTTATAATTTCAGACACGTTACATCCTATCACTGTGGGAGCTCCTCCTACCTTGATACACCCTGTGTTTGTCACTGCTATTGCTCCTACCTTGATACACCCTGTGTTTGTCACTGCTAGTGCCCCTACCTTGATACACCCTGTGTTTGTCACTGCTAGTGCTCTTCCTACCTTGATACACCCTGTGTTTGTCACTGCTAGTGCTCCTCCTACCTTGATACACCCTGTGTTTGTTATTGCTAGTGCTCCTCCTACCTTGATACACCCTCTGTTTGTCACTGCTAGTGCTCCTCCTACCTTGATACAACCTGTGCTTGTCACTGCTAGTGCTCCTCCTACCTTGATACACCCTTTGCTTGTCACTACTAGTACCTCTCTCACCTTGAATATAGGGCACCAGATGAAGGAATGTTTGGCCGCGAAGATCATATTATCGTAGACGCGCTCCAGGTCAGGAACAGGTAGTTCTTTGTTCCTCACCAGTCGACACACTTCCGACACCCGCCGCCTCCTCTCAAGTAGCACCTCTCGCTCCAGGGCACTCTTCTCCTCAGTCTGCCAGGGGGGGGGCGAAACGTTAGAAATATTTGCGAAAATGTTTACCGAGAGCTGTAAATCGACACTAAGATGTACATAAGATATTTATACACCACAGCTGTTTCGCCCAGTGTGTGATCGAAGTTTTGTGGTTATTAAAAGTATCCACTGTGTGGGCGGAACGTTGTGGTTATTAAACACAAAGTTTCGCTCCAAGTAAAAATACTCTACTTAGAGCGAAACGTTGCGAAACCCACATAGCTCGAGCTATGTGGGTTAGTCAATGTAGACAGAAGGTGGTGGTGGTGGGGGTGAGACAGATAGGTGGTAATGACAGCAAGTGTGTGGTGGTTGGAGAGGTGGTAGATTAGTGGGAGCTGTTGTGGAAGGTTGGTGGTGGTGGCGACAGGAGAATGTTGGCGGTGGCAGATAGTTAGTGGTGGTGTCGGGTGGTGGTGGCAGGTGGGCGGGTGGTGGTGGCAGGTGGGCGGGTGGTGGTGGCAGGTGGGCGGGTGGTGGCACGTGGGAGGGTGGCGGCAGGTGAGAGGGTGGCAGAGTGACTGACCGCTCCCACAACCCCCAACACACACAGTTACCCAGCACAAACCAAGCTAGCAACAACCAGCTAGTATACCTGGCCAGCTACCTTTAATTGTCCATCCCCTCCATCGTCTCTGTCACATCTTTTTTCAACCTGATATTAACTAGCGCATCCAGCTCCTTTAATAACGACGACGCACATTCTCCAACTTTACAAGATAATATAACAGAGTTCCCGTGAGAACTAGAGATTAAAAGTACCGTATACTGACCTGTGATGGTAACGGATGTGGTTAGGTAACGTTAGCGCCTCGCACGAGGCTGAGACACGGTACACAAAACGTTAGTGGGATTTAACCAGATAAAGCTCTTCTTAGAGCGAAACATCAGCAAGTGAATCTCAGGGATAAGATCGTCATCCTTCCAGCGATGTCTCTGTTAAGTTGTAATTGAAGAAAATGTAGTCATAATACCAAAGATTTAATTATTATTGCTAAACTGCTAAACTCGTAAGGATCATACAGCACGTGAGGTTTGAAAGGCAGTGGGGTTCGATTCAAAGAA